TCAAGCGCCACAGACCGAAGTTGTTCACTCCGGTGAACTTTTCAATCTCATACTTTGTTGAAGGCATCTTCTCCACGCTCACCGCACCAATTTGTTGTGAATCGGATACCTTTAAACAAAGTATAAACGGTTTCTTAATGATCAAGAAACTCACAAGGGTTAGGGTTAACAAAGAAAACAAGGTAAAACAACAAGGATTGGTTATTAAACTGCTATTCTTTCCTTTCTCTTAGAACAAGATTACAAGTATACAAGAATAACAAAATAACCTCTCTCCCTTGAAATTAGGATTTTATCTTCCTATTTTTCCTTATGCCAAGATTGAGAAACTAGCATCCTATTTATAATAAAATAGCACACTAACCTAATGGGCTTTTTAACAATTACCCATTACAAGCTAACTTAGGGTACAAGCTAACTTAAACAATTGGGCTTACAAGCAAGACCCAATTCAACATGCTAACAACCCTAGGAATATTTACTCATGCTAACAACCTTAGCAATATTTACTCATGCATGTTAACAACCTTAGCAATATTTACTCATGCTAACAACCTTAGCAATATTTACTCATGCATGTTAGAACAAACTTCGACTACAACACGCATTACTTGCGAACAGACTTCGACTACACTAGAGTTCGATCCAATGTCTCACAGTGATCAATAACAAAATTTAGATAATGTATGTAGAAGTTTTTGCACTTGAATCAATTTTGTAGAAATTGATCTTCTTTTTATCTTGATCACAATTCAAACATATATACTTAAGTGCTCAAAATAGTATGAATGAAACTTTTTTCAATGAAATAAAAGTTATGCATAAAGTTTCATTTTTAATGGATATATGAACACTTGAAAAACTTGTATGAATTATGTAAAAATGATGTATGCAAGAGGTGATTTTGAATTCTGATGTATAAACCTTTATATACATCATAAAATACCTATATGAATTAATGCATATTGAAACAATTACATGAAGGTTTGCAACCTTTTAGACTCATGACGGTTCAGATAAAATCATTATGCTTCTATCGTAATTGGTTACCATAATGTTGTAACCGGTTACACCTAATAACGTTTAAAAAAATAAAGTTTTCGACCCTGTAACCAGTTACACCTGTTACAAAATTGCCAAATACTTTTTTTTATGATTTTGAAACAAAGTTAAAACATTTTAATGATGCATAAAAGATTTGAGATGAATATGCATGATATATTATGAGTGATTAAGATATATAATATGAATTGTTTTGCATACTTTAACCATCTTAATTCTTTCCTTTAATTTGCAAAGCTTATGATCATTTGAGCTTTATTGTGCTAGCCTTCAAGCTTTATCTTATTTTTGTTGATGTGTTTGTCTTCATCAAAACTTTAACCAAGGTCAATAAGAACTTTTCTTCACAGTACATCAACTCTGAATAAATATGGTTAATGGTCGTCTTTTTTCATCGGAAGGGCATCTTTTATCTAGACATGCAAAGAGAAAAGGGTGAGTTCAAGGAAAAGCCTGATCTGCCCACCCCATCTCACTTAACATAAAAAGATTAAAGAGAACAATATCCCTTCTTAAGATCTATTTAAATGAATGATCCATGAGGTTTAATTGATTGAGATATCCCTAAGGGTAGCCCAATATCTTCTTCTTTTTTTTTTTTTCATTTCTTATCCCCCAAATTGGGGGGAAGAGTTAGGCGCACATAGAGTCACACCTCCACCCATGAAGGAGATACCACTATCTATAGAGGTCAGAAACTCCAGTAAAATGAAATAAAATAATTAACACAAAAATCGCATAAGGCACGACGATAAAGAAAACATTAACTTAAATGTTTAAAAAAACACATCGAAAAATGGACTTACCAATAAATAAAGAGAATAAGAAAGAAATCAGTTTGTTGTAGAGGTCTCAAGAAGTAACAACTAAATCAAACCCATAACAAACAGTTAGGAACCATAAATATGAGGAATGAGAAATGGAGGCGAATGGAAAGGAACGGTTTCCCCTTTCTTACAAACATTTTCGACTAGTATAAGAAGTTAAAACAACTATGAATCCAACAGTTGTGAGATAGAGATCTAAGAGATTGTGAACTGATCAATTTGTAAGCACCATGTCATTTAGAAGAGTCATTTTATCATTAAAACAACCATTGCATTTATGTTCCCATAAAATAATCAACATATCACTTAAATTACTCCCTAGATTATGGTCCACGTGGAAAAAAATAGAGAAAGTAAATGTCAGGAAGATTACCCATCAACATTGACTTTGGTCAAGGGTAGGAGTGACAACAAGCTTTGGGCAAACGTTACGACTTTCTAATAAATTCAAGATAAAAAATTATGACATTCGCACTGCATACTCCAGAACTCCTCAAAAGAACCCCTTCATCAAATCTCACAGGGAACCATGCTCGCTAGTGTCTTCCAACAAAGGCGACCTTACTAGAAGAACCTTTAAAACAAATCCATAATTCAACTCTAATGAAAAAAGCTTAGAGGTTGTTGTTCCAGGCTGAGTCGAGACCCAACCTTCCGAATTCCAAGACATCCAAGTCTTAAAGAAAAAAGAGGGTAAGGAGACGGACACACCATAAGGATACAGAGGATCCTAGGAAAGCGGTCTTCCACTATCTGTTGGATGGGAAAGATCATGATATCCCAAGACACATATCCCACAAGACAATAGTCTAAAAAAATGTTTTTAGGACCTCTATACCATAAATTCTAATCATAAAATACAGTGAATGAATCAGACTCAGATATACATTATTCTAAACCTTAAATCATACACTTACACTCACCACTGACTTTCTCATCGAAGTGTTTGCATGTACAATCTCTCACCATCATACATAATATACAAGAGGATGTCGTATTGAAAAGATTGTCATATTGGAGTTCAGCATTATCATCATGACCATTATCTAACACTTGAAGATAAAATTGTTCTAGATCATGTCTATTTTGACAAATTTAAATTTTTGTTCGAGAAATCCACATTGGAAGATAAAGAAAATGTTTAAATTATTTAAAAGATTTAATACACATTTTTCCTATGATTTTTTTAGACATATCAAAAGGGGTGGCAAAATGGGTCGTGTCCCGCCGAATCGCCCGCACACCTGCCAAAAAAGGCGGGTTGGGTTGAGATTTTGTGTCCGCCTACCCGCTCAATCCGCCCCGCTTTAAATCTATCCCACCTTAAATCCCGTCAAAAAAAAGGGACGGGTTGCCCCGGCAGCCCGCCAACCTAATTATCAAGCACTCAAAATATTTATTTTGGTTAGTTGAAAGTTAATACTTGAACTATAGTTTTAGAATACTTATTAATGATTCTATTTTATATATTTATTTGTGAATATATGCAATATTTTTTAACTAAAATTTGTTTAAAAAAAAGGTTTATAAAAAATTGTTCTAAAAAATAAATAAATAATTTAATTGAAATATAAAATTAAGTCTATTAATCGAGTAAAAAATTAAAAATTAAAAAAACAATAAGTAGACAAGTCTGTCAACTCATCACTTTAGTAGAACAAACTTATTTTTAAATCCAATTTATCTTGGCAGACTTATCCATTTCACCCTCTATTTTATCGAGCTTAAAAAAGACGGAACGAGCTGCCTATTTTACCACCTACTATCAATACATGACCTTCAAAACCTAGATAAAGTTAATATGAATACGAGGTTCGTTTAAAAGGAAAAGAAAATGTACTAGAAATTATTCATGATGAAAGCCTTATATACTTGTAACATCTAACTGTCTCCTATGGAGATGACTATCCATGTGACTTGTTCCTGCCCTTACCCTATCGCTATGAGATCTTTATTAATTTTGTTTGTAACATTCATTGTAAGCTTTTTCATCCTTGAATAGGACAACACAAGGCTCCAAACAATGACTTAAAATGGTAAAAACTATTTGGTAAAAAAAAGTCATAGACTAGGCACTTACTTTAGTAATGAGAAACATTCTTTATACAATATAATTAATCTCTTTTTTCGCATAGTATAATATACTAATCAATTTGACAACTTTTTAATCATAATGTAGCATGTTTCATTTGTCCATGGAATCCTGTTTTTTTTCAATCCTTTCCTATTACCATGCTTTTATTGAACATGATTTAGTCAACATTATCCACTCTTATACTTCAAGAAATGATGTTATGTAATCTTTTTAATGTTGTCTAACTCCGATACAGATTTCGTCATTTAATATATTGTAATATCTATATCGACTAAAATCGCAAAAAAAACTGAGCTAATGTAAATTACAGAATAAATTAATAGAAAAGAGAATAGAGATATTAATATTTCTATTGATGTAAAAAAGAAAAGTTAAGATCTGAATAATCATAACTTATCTAACAAAAGCATAACATAATCATACATATAACACCAGTAATAGATACTAATTCTAGCTTTTGGGTCCACCCCAAACCAACAAACAAACCTCAAAGACCTTAGCTTTTTGGTTGTTGTTGGTCACACTCACCTCCCAAACCAACCACTCCACACCCAATTTTTCTCTTCATTCTTCATCATCTCATCCTATACATCAATCTCACTCACAAACACAACACACACAAACAACATTTCTTTGTTACACAATAATAACTTTAGACAAAAAATCAAATCCTCTTTTGCATCAAAAAGCAAAAGTAAGATTGTGAAGATTGGACAATTTCTTCACCCCAAATATTTCCTCCTAAAAAAAGCCTAAATCAAACCAAGTTTGTTTCCTCTTCTTCATTAAAAAAAACACACTATACATATACTAGATTAGTCCTCTAACCTTAAAAATCCTATGGTTCTGTCATGTTTGAAATCACACTGAATTTGACAGAATCACAATGATACCGTAATTTTGTTGAAACTCGGGTAATTTTTTTGGTTAAAATCATGTTGACCTAACTGATTTAAACTTGAACTATATAACTAAATTAAAATCTATATGGTAAAAAAAAACTGACTTAGTAGAAATCAGTGAAGTACAACCCTTTGGTACTTATTCTGATTAGGAGAATCAGAGTCATCAAAAAACACCCTTTTCCTATTTACTCTTCCACACTGAGAATTAGCATTAGTAGTATCAATATTGGGACTAAAAATTGAATCTTGATGGAGGATCTGAGGTATGGCAACAGGTGGAATCTCAAAGGACTCAAGAGGTGGAGGAGGGTGTTTCCATTGAGGAAGTGGTCCAGCAAGAAGAAGAGTTTGTAGCAAAGGGCCAGCCTTCATCACTGCCTGCAAAAGTTTACCTTTTTCAGGCAATGGTTTGGTTGGTGTTAGCATATCAATCACGGATTGGTCGACGATAACCGGCGAAGAAACGATGCTTTCTTCACAATCTGATGAAGATAAAGAGAAACAACCATTGTTGTTTGAGTCAATTGATCTTTTTGTTGTGATTGGTTCATCTTCAATGCTGGAAACTCCAGAAAGTGGAGCATTTTGTTGATGGAAAAGAAGATTCTCTAAGAGAAGTCTTTGACATTTCTCTTGAGCTTCATCTCTTTCTTGAATGATGTTGTTGATTAGATCTTTGAGGTTGATTAGTTGTTCATCTTTTTTTGTGAGTTCTTCTTGTGCTAGAGTTCTTGTTTGTTCTAGCTCTAGAGTTGTGTATAGAAGTGATTGTCTTAGTTCCTCCATTGACTGTAAAAAAAGCAATTAAGTTTAGTAAAAACAATTGAGAATTAATCAAGGGTTATGAATTTGTTTAGAAGAAATTGAAGGAAGCATTGTGAATGGAAATAGTTGTTACCTTTCCTTGGCAGAAGTAAGCCCAATTTAGAAGAGGGTTAGGTTGATGGTCCATGTTATGAAGATGAGAATTTGTGTGAATAAGTGCTTTTTTGAAAGAAAAGAAGAGGAAGTGAAAATGGAGGGAAGGGGAGAAAAGAGATGTGGGAGAGAGGAAAAGGAAAGTGAGTGAGGTTTTGGGTGGAGGTACAACTATAAGCTCTCTTTATAAGAACTAGTCCAAGTCACTATTTGCCACTTTGCTTTGCTTTCTCACTTGCAAAAAGAAAAGTTTAATCCTCAATATCGATATTGACATTAATACGTTAATATGTTGATATTGATAATAATTTAATAAAATAAATGAATTGAATGAAGTCTTATATGTCAGATATAAGTGTATGTTGTATTTTATATAGCTCTGACAGCTTTAAAAATATCATGTTTATGTCTATGTCAAACATCTGCACTGACACTTATAATTACATTTAATATCAGTGCATGTTATATTTTATATAGCTCTGATACCTCAAAAAAACGTGTTTATGTGTGTGTCAGACATCTGCACTGACACTTATAATTATATTTGATATCAGTGTATGTTGTGTTTTATATAGCTCTGACACTTCTAAAAAAAACGTGTTTATTTTTGTGTTAGATATCTGCACTAACATTTATAATTATATTTAATATCAATTTTGAGTCGTGTTTGGGATATTCGTGTTTAGAGGCATTGATACGCTTAGAACATAGACACGATAAAGAGGTTGATAGAAATGTACGATAAAGAGTACATCCTAGGATACTGTGTTTTTTTTTATCTATTTTGAAACAGTGTTTGTAACTTTTTTGTTTGTTTGAAAACAGTTAATTTGGTTGTGGTACAATCTGAAACAGTAGCGCGGGGAAACAAGAATAAGCAGTAAAAGCGGGAACAAGAAAAGTAGTAGAAATCAAGTCTTGTTCACGTTTGTTGATTTGCTTTTTTAGCCACTTCACTCACTTGTTTTTTTATTGACCATAAAATACAAGAAAGTGACTCAAAATTAACGACATATACTCTAATGATATATATTAATTTCACTTTCAAGCACAATTTTTTATAAATTATAAAAGTAGCTATAGAATAGAAGTCTTATGAGATAATGAAGAGTTGTGATGAATCCAGACGGAGGCTACTCGTAGGATCTTTTGATATCTTTTTGATAATCATATTTCTATTGAATTTTGTTTGTTTTAACCATTAGTGGTTTAGAATGAAGCATCTCTCACCAAACATGATAGTTATTTAACATATTAGAAATTAGAAATCTCTTTGATAAGTGAAACTATTTTGAGTCTTTTAATTATTTAACGAATAATGTTTTATAGTTTAATTAGATAGAGAAAATAGTCTAAACTGGACTGGAGAGCAATGTCACTTTAATAAAGTTAAGAGATAAGTGAAATTGCTCTCCTCTAGAATTTTGCTATTTTTATTGATTATCGTTTACTTTATTATTTTAGTAATTGAGTCTTCTCTTGGTTAATTCAGTGCGTATCTCTTAGAATCAAGTGTTATTCAATAAAATGTAATTTGCATGCATTAATCAAAACCTTAGCTAAAGTTGATGCAAATGGTTCAAGTTAATAAGTCGAAAAATTTGAATCGATAAATTGATGAATGCATAAGCTCAAGTTAAACTAAATCTCGATTCACTTATGTACAATTCATATTTCTCAAGTTTTCAATTTTGAAAGTGTGATTCGAATCATAACATGAATGTGTACATCAGAATTTGCTTATGAAAGCATGATTTGAATCACAAGACACCCTAATTCGTATCAGGTGATAGTTTGATTCAAATATTGGAGTTGGTTGAAAATATACACGTTGATACTCTTTATGGTGGAGTATGATTGTCGGTGAAGATAATGAAAGCTTATGTATTATTTTCAATCAAGGTGGAGATTATTGGGGTTGGTTGAAAATATACACGTTGAAGAAGTCTCACATCGCTTAGTTTTATGAATGAAGAGGGAATCCAAGACTATATATAGGATATAAGTTTTTGAAGTCCCACATCGCTTAATTTTGTGAGGGAAAATGGAGTCCAAGGCTATATATAGGATTCAAATCTTCATTCTAAGATGCACTAGTCAAAAGCACTTTAAGCTTGTATTTGACTTTCTTTGTTCTCTTTTACTCTTATTTTAAAGTTGTGTGAGATGTAGTTAAATATTAGTTTTGGAGGGTGTGGGTGTACTGGAGGTTGGGTTAGTTGAGGTATATTATGTGTTGTAATAATTTTCACATAGTGTTATTCTCTGGTTGTCTATTGACAACGACAGAGTTTTTTCTCCAATTTTGGAGTTTCCACATTATGTTGTTGCGTTGTTATTGTGTTCCTCTGTTTTCTCTATGTTGGTTTTTTTCCTAACATCGAATCACACGAAAGACTGATTTGAATCATGGCTAGACTTTAAAATTTGGGGTCCTATTTGGTTTAGTGATTCGAATCAAGAATTTTTTTGACTCGAATCAAAAGTACAAAATTTGGGTTTATGTTCTTGATTTATATCATTATCTCATTTTATTTAAATCATAATCTTTGCTCATGACTAGAATCATAAGAGTCATCTTAATCATTTTAGTGCATTAACTTTAACACATATATAATAAAAAAAATCTTTGTCTAAGATAGAACAACAACACAATTTTTACAACTTTTGAAAAATCATTTTTGAGTTTTATCAATCACACAAGATATCTCTTTCTCAAATCATTCTTGAAGACAACTTTTTTTCTTTGATTTTGTGAGTTCTTGAGTATTGTTGTGTGAGATTGCATGTGAAGTCATTCATCTTGAATCTCTAGCAAATCACCATTATTGTGTGTGTTTCTCAACTCTGGGGGAGTTAGAGATTTAGAAAGAGAAGGGTCATTAGGTGATAATTCTTTAAGAAGTTTGAGTTTTAAACCAAATAATTGTATAACTAGGATTCATAACTTAGTAAAGGAATAAGAAGTGTTTTCTTCTCCAAGGAAATCTTTGGTAAGACCAATTAAGGGTTGTTGTAGATGAAGTTGGAGTTTCCAGTTCGTTCAATGAGATCAAAAGCTTAGACAAGAGATTTCCAGCAGAGTTGACTGAAGATTGCTGCAGACAGAAGCTTGAAGCAAATCTTTGGACCTAGGAAGATGAACCGATTCAAGGTTGAGTGAAGACCTTGTGAAATCAACCTTATGAGTTGTTTACGTCGAAAGAAGAATCATATTAAAGCTACTTATCTGTTGAATTAAGTTTTAGAATTATCTAATATTATCTAATTGTATTGAAAGACACATTGTAAAATTGTAATATAATGGAAGACTTGTGAATTTTTAATGGTTCACCATTAGATACTAGATTAGGTGCAAGCGAGGAAGAATGCGATGAATCAGTATAAATAGTGATGCACTTTTCTTTATCCCTCTATTTAAGTTCATGTATAAATTTATAGATCCTAGGATTTATCTTCTCACTAGAACCACATGTGGCTAAGTTTATTACTTATAGTGATTTTTTGTAATAAGCATAGGTTTGTGATATATTAAGTTTGGGAAACGATCTTTCTGCATATTATAGTTGTTAAAATTGTAATATTAGATTTCTATCATAATTAATAAAGTTCAATTTAAACATCTTGTGTAAATTAAATTTATTTAATTGATGCATTGTGATTGGAAAAATAATAAATGTACTATTTTGCCTATGTAGTAATAAGAAATAAAGTCCCAAATGTCGATCTCAAGAATTGCTTGAGGATATAGAGTCCTGAGTTCAATTCAACTAAATAAACATGTGGGGGTTTAGGATTGTTTAGTGAAATTATAAAACAGTTGCATAAAAATAAAGAAAGTAATTGAGTGGTTTAGAAAATATATGAGTAAACTATGCTAGAGATGGTGTATGATCTGACTTAGTAACAACTCTAAATTAACACTGTAACAACTTATTGTAACTAATTAATTACCGATTCTTTAAAATATTTACTCCTGGATCCTTAGTGAGAAAACCTTTAATCATCCACCCTAATTCCTATGTCCATAGAGAATTACAGATGAAATTAAGCAATAAATTATCAAGAATATTTCGGTTTCTATAGGGTACCCCTAGTCCTAGGTGATATCTACTATAGAATAATCCAAAGCAAAGCATTAACAACGACAATCTAGCCTAATCGCTAATCGAAAATCAAACCCTGTTTGTCTGACAGGGCAAATATTAAGAATAGTTAGAGATCAAATCAATTATGAAAAACAAAGATTGTTATTGCAATACTAATATCAGAATCATTACAGATCCAAATCAAGGACACCCCTTAGTATTGTAGGGTTTAACTACTCATAGTGTTCAAAGAAAATATAATGTAAAAAGTAGACATTACAAGAATTTGGATAAACTTGGATCGTCAATTGCTTCCGCTCATGAAAATATTTCGCCCTGCGAAAACCTTGTGCTCTCCAATATTTGATCGTAAAATTTTTCTCCAGTCAAACTGATAAATGGATTCTATCATGTCCCTTAACTCAATTCTTATTGATCTTCATCCTTTTTTATTTTACTCCATTTCCGGATTCATTCTCGTTTTTTTTATTTCCCTACTTAGTGAAAAGTCCTCTCTTTCATCGTCCCAACTAATCTAAATAGCGAAAAATTAAATAACAGTAGGTGTAAATGCCAAAAATACCCTCCAGGTCAGTAAACAGTTGAAATCAGCAAAAACGGAAAAAATTAACGTCGAGGTCAACACGGTCCGTGTCACCCTTCTGGTTTCTTCAAATTCCATTTTTCTCTCCAGGCCTGTTGACATGGCCCGTGTCAGGTGACACGGGTGCCCATGTCAGCCCACTGTCTATCTTCAATTTCTTCTTCAATTCTCATTGTTTCTGTTTATGTTGACACAGCCCGTGTCAGGTGACACGGGTGCCCGTGAACTTCCACTGAAACTCCACAAATTTCCGCTTTCTTGCACCGAGCTCTTTGGAATGCTTATCTGAACCTAAAAACATTAAAGAGACACAACCAAAGTACAAATTGCAGAAAAAGGGAA